CCTCCCACTGACGGAGCGACCTCCGAAACAAGCGACGATCAACAGGTTTCCGCGCGCAGCGCTGGCGGCGGCGGCAGCGACGGCCTCGGGAACGACGCTACCGGAAGTCAGCGACGTCGCCGGACGTTTCCCGAAGCGCAGCGGCCCGGCGCCAACGAATAAATCCGACGGCTCCTCCCGATAACTTTATGACAACTCTTTGGAATTCCGCCGCGCAACTTTGCACGTCGAGACAGATGTAGAAAGGGGACGGAGTTCGACGTGGCAGGACGAAAGGCTGCGGGCGAGGTGGCGTCTGTTCGCCTCGATGACTTCTGCTGTTTGTAACCTCCGTGGTTCTTTTGTCGACTTCTCTCATCTTCGTGGTCACTATTCAAACATTTCTCATCGAGTTCCTTAATGATAAGCGAAAACAAGTTTTCACGTTTCCTGCCAATCTTTAGAAAACGAAATAAACGAAAGGATAACAAATCATTCTTTCAAAACATAAAAACAATAAACGAAGTGATTTCCTCTTTTTAAAATCGGTGGCCATCATATTATTTTGTAACTACTTAAATACAGCTACGGTAAATTTGGATAAAGTAGGTTTCCCGAAACCTCATTACAGAAAGTTAGAAGATGTTTACTAGCGTGTCTTTAAAGTTTTTCTTACATGCTACAAAAATCATTAAAAACCACAATGCAACGGTATAGGCAATTCGAATACGTTCTCCGCCTTTTTATTTGAAACTGCATTTACGACAGTATTCAGTCGCCTCTCAGTAGCAAAAAGTAATCAGCATCGAAACAAAAGCAAAAATAATAAAAAAAATAATGTCGTCCTACTTCTGCATTTTTATTCAATGCACCGCTATTCAATACGACTCAAATGACGCACATCTCACTCTAATTTGAATTCCGTGCCCTGTAGTCAATACCACGGCGTAATAACAGAGCGCAATAAATAAAACAAATCCGAGTTCAATTTGGGCGTTCTCCCCTTCTCCGGCCCCTGCAGAGGCTCGCCAACCAACTCTCACACACATGCAGTGAGCCGAAATGACTACTCATCAGAACGAGCTCTCGCTGTCGCCATCTTCGATATTTCCGTCATTACCGTGTTCCATCGCAGGGCAGTCCTCCTCCTTGGACCAATTTTGGATCTACTCTTTGTCACCGCAATTGTTCCTCCTCGCTGTGTCAGTCGTTTCGGAAGCACTAGATACCGGTCATTCCTCGCGGTTGTGGTGACGGTGAAAGCGATAACCACCTACTCCTTATACGTAAGCTTTCAACTTTTTATAATGAGTCGATTATGAGAGATGAGTTATGAGAGTTGATTTTATTGGAGAACTGTTCAGCTAAATATCAATTTTTAATGCATTATATTGGAAAATAATTAATTGGAAATTTATGAATGGAAAATTATCACAATGAATTTCCATAACGTGTCATTCAGAGCACACAAGATAAAAAAAAAGAAATTGTTTCTACAACTTCTAAAAATGCTTGTGATGAGAGCCGCAAGAAAAATAATTCGAAACATTTTGCTTGCTGTGCAAATGACAGGATATAATTATAATTATATCCAATATTAATGTACCAAGTGTTACATTACATAATATTAATAATTATGTACCAAGTGTTACATCTTCAGTACCTGCCGTTCAGCCACTCATCCCACCAGGCACAGCTTCCTCATTCCAAAATTGTGTGAATTGAACTGGTGATTTTAAACCAAAAACCACACAATTCATCGCTTGCTCCGCAATCCCGTTCTTGCTCCCACCGGCGCCCCATCGCCCATCCTCTGTTCCTCCTCTCCCTCACCCCGTCGCCCTCGCCCCCGCCCCC